TACATTTTCTGTCTGATAAAGAGTACATTTATATACATGTTTAAGCGATTTGACGTTTAAATATGACTTCCCTACAACTTTAAACTTTTTTCTTCAAAATGTAGAAAAAAATTTAATCAAATTTTGCAGACTGTGTAGGAACCCCATATAGGACAGTCACATAAATCCGCCTCTGTTAGCATTTCTAAAGCCAACCAACACTCTAACTAAAGCAAGACTGCTCCTTGAAATCTTCAGTTCTTCAAATATTTCCTAGTTAAATAAAGCGCATGGTTAAACAGCAGATACTTCAGAAGTTCAATCCACTCACCATTCCTGAGTTTCTGACTGATCCCCGTGTCTGAAAACGAGCGGGTGTGTCCTTTAGCGCCCCTGCCGGGGCCCTTCTGGCCTTCTGAGAAAGAGGAGCGCCTTGGCGGATTCGGGGCCAGAGAACCCCGCTGTGTGCACGGTTCCTTTTTCTGGTCCTGCTCGCTGCTGTGGGTGGAGCTTCTGGAATTGCAACGACTGCGCTGCCCAAGATTACCGATGGCCAGATACTCCGGACCGTCATCGGAGTCGCCATCGCAGAAGTCCCCGGATTCGGGCTGAACGGAGGAGGATGGGGACTCTGTTAGAGCGATGTGAGGGGTGGAAGTGGATCCAGGAGGAGGCGTCACACCGCGTTCACCCTCCGCTAGGCTGGACACGAACGCCCAAGGAGTTTCCACCCTGCTGGCTGGAGAGGTAGTGCCTGCAACACAGCATAAACAAAAGACCATCACTACAAACAAAACCAACCAAACGCTTTTGATTTTTAATCATTCAAGAAAAGGTGAATTGTTGTCTCGTTATTTATAGCCCCTTTCATGCACAGGAAAAGAAAGAAAATAACATATAAGAAAAAAATCCTGGCATTAAATTAAGAAATGTGACAACTCAAATAAAAAAAAAAAACAAATAAAGCAAACTTTGACCTATATCTATATCTATTTAGTCCTGATTCACAAATGAGACACAGGATTTGCAAAGCTCAAGTTTTAAGGTAGTTTCCTTCAAAGCTGAGGAGCAATAAACTAAGCATCCTCGCCTCATGTAGCTCTAATCCAGGGAACTCTGAGGGGAACGGGACTCTGATGGTCTGCAGGGTCTACAACTCCAAGGACATTCAATTTTTTTCCCTCATTTCACAAACAGGAAGATCAATTTTCAGTTAGCATCCTGAACCCAGCTAACTGAATCTTTACTAGCTAAGGCGGCTGCATCCACACATTCCTCAACAGCTGATCTCGTCCACAAACAATCAGCCCTCTGTGTGTTTGGTCCAGTCAGCCAACTGACACACAAACAGCTGTGTATTCACAGCCAAACAATCATTATCATGCTTGCTAAGACATTCTTTGATAATCTGTTAGAAAGCAACTTTATACTAACCAGCTAAAGCAAAATGCTGATAAATCAAGCTAACGAGGCACCAGAAAGGATCAATATTCTCCAACTTGTATTTTGTTTACACCTGTGACCAACACTAGACTTACCAGCTATTAAAGTCGTAGGTAAGCGGCTGTTCTAACGGTTGCGGTTCGGAATTCTCCCGATTGGTGCCCGACTTTACACGAGTAAATAAAGTGAATGTTATTGGTCGATTATCAAGGGGGCGGGATTGTCGTGGAGGAAGGTTCGCAAGCAAATTTGGTTGTTACATATATTAGCTGCGCCATATGAATCAAGATGCTATGACTGAAAATATTTGATTGACAGATGACCATTATATATATGATTGGCCGAATTTAGGTGTTCAGGCTGACGTATAACTAACTGGCCTGCAGAAGATAACGAAAGTAAAAAAACCACTGACTTTAAGACAGGATTTCTTTTTTAAATAGACATTTTTTGGGACAATATGGTCTGATAACAAATGCATTTATACACATGTTTAAGCCAGAATGATTTGACGTTTAAATATGACTTCCCTACAACTTTAATTGCTATGAAGAAAAACAAACAGAAATTAAGCACAGCTTCAGAAACATGACGGACGGATCAAACCTACACTTGGTAGTGTCTGCAGGGCTGAGGTCGGCAGTAACGGCTTCTCGCAGAGAGCAGTTAGACGTGGTTAGCCTGCGGTTCAAAGAGTCTCCTCCTGGTGATGCGTCCGCCTTCCTCCAGGTCCCACCGGCCCCTGGCAGCACACACAGGCTCTGGCTCTTCAACAGACTGAAGCATGGAGAGCCCCTCAGAGGGGAAAGCTGGAGGAAGGAAATAAACCCCTAAAGGTGAGTCTTTTTTGAATCCCTGCAAATAATCCTCACCTACACCTGACCAATGAACCATAATGCATGTATTTTTTCCCCCATTCAGAGGCAGTTTGAAACACATCTGAAAGCATGAGTAACCTACCCCAACCGTGTCTACTTGAGCCAGCAGTTTGGGGTTATTCTGCTCCACGGCTTCCAGACACTGAAACATGGCGGTCACATGAGGCTCACTGAGTAGGAAGGCATCATCTGAAGGGCAGCCACATGAGGAAGAGATGAAAGGCATGTGAAAAGAAACAAAGATCATCAGGATTTACTGGAAAACACAGAATGATTTGGGTTTTATTTTCACCCCCTCCCACCAAACTCACCGTTGTAGTATTTCCGGGTGTTTCCCATATGCCGGAGCAGAGGTTTGAGTTGTGCTGAGAGCTTATGAACCTGTAAGCTGTGCAGCAACCAACGCTCGGCCTTGTAGCTCTCCCCGGCGCCGTGCATCCCGGTGCTCAAAACCGGCTCCAGGTGACTGAACTGAGGATGGAGCAACGGCCAAAGAGATTGGAATACAATGAGTATGAAATCTATTAGGCCAAAACATCAAAAGGAGACGTTGCTCTGTGACGGAACAAGTCCCTAACCTCACTACCGTCAGGTGGAGAACAGAATCAGCCAGCGTTTTAAATGAACCAGTGACCCACCAGCCAAAGACTCACTGTTTTACTAGTCTACAAACCCCAACTACACAGATAGAGAAACAACATGACAGAGGTGGACTAGAAGTCAACCAAAGCAGCAATCTTTAAAGGAGTCATAGAATGCAAAACCAAGTTTCCAATGTCATAGATTAATAACGATGGTTTTGTGGGTGAAATGGTCGTACAGAGAAGTTCAAACCCCATCGACACCTCCTTTCTCTGCAAATCTCACAATTCCAAACTTCCGCCATAAAACGGGCGGATTCAAACAAAGCCCCGAGTTGACATAAACTCTGGGATGTTGACATATTTGGTTCTGGCCTGTACTTTTTTCAGACCCTGAAATGTACATACAGATCAGCCCACTGGTTCACTGCCCAAGAACATGAATAGAGGTAGATGTAAGACACTAGATTAGCTGTTTAGCATACAGTTTGGTTTACTTCTACAAGAATTACAAAGCAGGCAGTTTCTCTATTGAAAATGAGCCAGAACCACAGGCATAAATGCAGTGTTCTAGGCTGCACAGTGAAAGGGGAAAATTTTCAGTCTTCCCAAGGATCCCAAGACTTGACAGGCATGGACTATGTTTGTCTATAAGAAGATCCCTGCAAAGTTTGATGCTCAGCTGTTCATTTGCTCTAAATATTTTACAGAAGAAAGCTTTCAAAATCTTGGACAGTTCAAAGCAGGATTTGCTAAACTTCCTTTACTGAAACGAGGGGCCGTTCCGACCGTAAGACCATCACAACCGCAAGCTGGAAGTATGATTTTGTCAATAAGCTGATAGCAATGCTAGTATATCGTATGTAGCAGCATGCAGAATGTGTTACGATTCCATTTGTTAGCAATGGGTGTAACTTTATTTCATTTCCCTGGCTGTATTTCTGTCAAATAAATAACATGTTTATATGTAAAACTACATTTGTCCATATCTTCGTCAGGTTATTTTGTTAGTCTATTCCAGCAAGATGACTAAAGCTAAGTAGAATGATGATCGTTTGGTTGCTAGAAGCTTAGCTGTAATGTTACCCACCTAAGTTGATCATTTTACCACTTTTAGAAGTGGAAACAAGGAGTAACGTTAACATTATCGTGTACAATTAATCCGACACCTAGTGTGTCCATATCAACAATTTCGATGTTTATTGAGTGCTTGTTGCTATGATGCGTCTTTGCTCAGCAGCTTGGCTCGTTGTAAACCAACCAATCAGCTCACAGCTCATCTAAATATTCATGAGCATACAATAAAAGGAAGAAAACCTGTTGTTTCATTCTAGGGCTTTTAACCAGGTTTGCATTAGGGTGCATAGTACAGAAAATATGCCATTTTCAGCCCAATCAATGTTACACACCCTATTCAGAGACCCTAAGAACCAGCACCAAATACACTATAGAATCATTCTATGACCCCTTTAAGGAAATCTTTTCCTTGACTTGATTTTTCATTCAGGCTTTTACTTTAAAACAGAGAGAAAGTCTTCTACAAATACCAAGAAAGATTAATATATTACCGCTAATTTGCTTTGCTTTAGCTTTCTGAGCCTTTAGTCTTTCACCTCTCATAGAGAATCCTGGATTTGAATAGTAGTCTGGGACTATACACACAGACAGTCTACCTGCTAATGCTATACAATACAGATTCTGCATTAAATTTAGAGGTTAGAAGATCATCTTGATAATCATGTCCTTGTTTCAAATATTTCTTAAAACTTGTTTTTGAGCGACTGCTCTCTTAAAAGCAGGTCAGAGGGGCAGAAAACGGAAATATTTTGAATGCCATTATAAATTATCTTTAAGATTATTTAGAACCAGCATGTTATGGCTTTTGGAAAAATCAGATAACTGAAATCTGCCAAATAACAAAACAAATCCCTTCTGAGCTTAAGTTGAACTACAATAGAGAACAGAAACCAGGAGATCACATGACTGTTAGATCACAGCTAAGCCCGGCTAATCAGCAAGAGCAGCAATAATCAGGATAATTACATTCCAGCTCCTCAAAGCTTCATCTATTGTTTCAAAATCTCCCCAAAAAAACAAGCAACAGTTTCTACAGCTGAGAAAAAAATCTCATTTTAGATGCAATAGTACACACAAGACTACAAAGTTATAGAAGATCTTTTTTTTTGGCATGTTTAGCATATTATTGTTATTAATTCCTTAAACTGATCTTTATTCTTATCCTTAAATAAAAACAGATAATGGATTTAATTAATATATACATATATATATGCATGCATGCTTCTTCTAAGCAGGAACAAATGATCTAAAAGGTCCAAACAAAGACATTAAAAACATCCTTCTGGCTTCTAAATCTGAAGCCAGAAGGAAACAAGGCCTGTTTTCAGAATAGAAACATGCACTTTTTTCCTCTTTTCGATGTAAATTATACCTTTTAATCATATGACAGAAAGCCAATATTATAGTAAATATATTTATAAACTAAAAACATGTTTGATGTCAAAACATTCAACAAGCCTGGAAAGTTTCAGCTGAATGGTTCCCTTTTCCGCCTAACTCGCTCAGGGGACCCGCAACCTGATGGAGCAGAAAACAGCCCCAGAAATGAGAGAAAAAATGTCCCCATCTTAGGTATCATTTTAGTAACAATTGGAGAAGTGAAAAAAAGCAAGCTGATGTTTTCTAATTTAATGCAGACTATAAATTTCCCTGAGTTATTTTCTATTCTCTCATAGAAGCACGTACCTGTTCAACATGCACAGCGAGGTGGGGGGTAATGTAGCGAACACACCAAACAAAAGGCCAGTAGTCTCGCTGCTTGTAGTACACCTGCAATGATAAACCACTAAAATAAATAAAAGAAGGGTTTATTGTTAGCAAAAAGCAATAATAAAGGGAAGGTGCAGCTAAATACTCAGCACAATAATGTTATCTGATAACAATGATACTGCTGGTGGGGTATTATGGTCCTCAGACAGATTAAATTTATCATCAAGAGAAAAAAAAAACAAAGAAAAGCAGGTTGAACAAAGACACGTTTTCCTTACCTGCTCGTTTTTCAGCCTGTGACCGAGGATGTTGTTCATGTCCTTGTGGAGCCTCTGCAAGCCCCCGTACCGCGACCAGACATTAGGGTTGTTGGTGGACAGGAGGCCCTCCACAGTGGTCTTCAGGCTGGACAGCAGCTTCCATTGCTCCCTCCTAGAAGCAGCAAGGGAAGCAGGATGGGGAGACAGAAAAAAAACAATACAGGAGGTTATACAAGCAAGTAAATAATGGCTGGTGACAACAATGTGGTTCAGCGAATCTAAATACATTCCTTGAGGGAGGAAAAAAGCTGCCTCAGCAATTTAATGAATACAGTCTAACACAAAGATCTGCTTTTTAGTTTAGGGAATCTTTAGGAAAAGATTCTGTTCTTCCTACATATCTTTAGATCTTTGCTTTTATGAAAATTAGAAAATAACCTAGTCACGAGATGTCAAACAAAAGCATAGCTAAACATGATAAATTTGGACTTTCACTCTTTTTAGCAGAGCGAAGAATCGCAGCTACGAGCACTAATCACTTTAGTGTTAAAAAACAGCTTGCAGTGTTGAAACACTAATCAAATCACATAATGCAATTGGCTTAAAGTTAGATAGCATTCCCTACATACTGCAGAGCAAGCTGGAGGCAAAAACAGATGGCTGAGTGTTTCGGAGGGCTTATGCGTATCTAATAAAAGCAGACAAATTTGTCCTTTTACTAGAGTTTTTTGCTGGCCAGAACATTTCACAAGAAAATAAAGTCCTTAAAGGTACATTCAATTTTAGCATTTGTAAAAGAATAATTAAGCATGTCACATTGGGGAAAAAAATAACAAAAAACAAAAATGATAAGTCTACATTTCCCAATTTCACCTTTCCTTCTGGTATGTCATGTGTCAAAAACCCTCAGCTATCAAGGAAGTTGTTGACCATGAGAATAGATACTGCTTTGTTTATATTTAGATTGTGTGAATATACCAGATTTATAATCAGCGAGATAATTTTTTATTTTATTTAATATAGAAACTTGTTTTGTTCTATGGAGCTGTCTGTTGGAGCAGTAGCATATCTGTAGCTGAGAGAAAGTGCCTGGATAAGCTGATCAGGAAGGCCAGCTCTGTGATTGGATGCCCTCTGGGCTCAGTGCAGGAGGTGGGAAACAAAAGGATCCGAACTAAATTAACATCTCTGTTGGATAATGTCTCCCACCCCATGCATGAAACTATTGCGGAACTGGAGAGCTCCTTCAGTGACAGACTGCTGCATCATAAATGCATCAGGGAGCGTCATCACAGATCCTTCCTCCCAGCAGCTGGATGACTCCATAACCCCCCCTCTGTTTCCAACAATCTCGATTAGTTGTTACATTCATGCTGATTTTGCAGAGTTTCTGTCTTGGTCAGCTAAATAACGTGCTGCTGTTATTTTGCACATCCCTAATGTTGCTGCTATTAGCAAATATCCATTACTGTAAAAATGTTCATGGCTGTATATTGGTTATTTTTTCTCCAGGAGCACAGCTTTTATATTGTTAAAACACTTCACACTACAGTGATTTACTGTTTATTTTTTAACTGTTGACTATTATGTTATTCTTATACACTTTTCTAAGGTCCACATTAGTGTGACCATTTTTTCTATAATTTTTTTTCTGCTGTAAACACCAGAATTTCCCCATTTTGGGAAAACAAAGCGATTTTCTATTCTATTTTATTCTGTTTTTTTAATCATCAGGCAGAACTACAGCTAATTAGCAGTCCTACAAGAGAAAATAACACATAGGAGAAATAAATTTGCGTTAAATCATCTGTGTTTTTGAAAAAACAAAACATTTGACAGTTAGCCTTAGCTGCTAACACAACATACCAACGAACAGCATTTCAGCGCATACTTAACAATTAGCAATAAAACAAAAGTTAATGAATAACTAGAATTTTTTACAAACAGATAACGCAAAAAAAATGTCAAATAAGACAGCATATAACTGTCACTTTTAATGAGAGGGTAGAAATCTAGCTAGCTAAGCTAGCACAGCTTAAACTAACACTGCTAAATTATTCTTTTTGTTGCTGTTTACAACAAAACCATTTCTTTATCTAGTCCTACAGCAACATTGCTTATCGATGAAAACATTTTCTAGTTTTTTGTTCATCAAACTGCAGTCAAACAACCACCGGGTAACCCGGAGGTGCTGAACCCAGAGGGAGCTGTCACTTGCCTGCGCTCCTCCGCCTCTCCCTCCGCAGTAACCTCCATCATGTCCTCCAAACGGAGCCGCTTTGGGCATCAAAAGCTGCCAGCTTCCCTGCTAACTCCTGCAATGTTGACAAAATGTAATTACAAATGCAGAAGTTGATGGAGGGAGTGAGCCGCCATGTCTGCGGTGCCTGCTGGACCAGAGCCTACAATCAAAATACGGCAGGCCGCATATCTGCTCTTGTGAGCGGATGCTGCATCAGCGAGTGGGCGGCGAGAACAGCCGCAGCCCTGCCTACTTTTTACACAAATATCAACACTTGTGAAATTAGAAAATAAAAGCTGTGTATTTTTTATATATATATAATTTCGGATAATTAGAGGTTACTGATTCTGTTTATTGAGTAAAGTACTATAGTATTTAATGTTTGACTTCCTGGCAGAGATTTCTAGAATGTTTCTAAATTACTTCTGGTCAATACTGCCCCCTGGTGTTAGGAAATTAATCTTCTTCTTCTTTTCTATAATAGCGGATTGAAAGCAACTTTAAGGTGCATAGCGCCACCTGCTGTACATGAGTGTGTAGCAACATTACTTTACATCAAATTCGGTTGGGGTTTTTTTTGTATTCTGTAGATAAATAAAGAATGGTTTTCTTAATTTGTGAATATCCTTTATATTTCCCCCTAATATTCCTTTAAGACTACATTCTTTGCCTGTCCTTTCAACCATTCTTCTCAATTTCTCCCTTTCATGTGCATAAGTTTTACAGTTCATTAATACATGTTCTACATTTTCTTTTTTGCCACATCCTTCACATTTATCATAATTTTCCCTCCTTATTAAATATAAATTGTAATTTAAATAGGTATGACCCACTCTTAATCTGATTATTATTACTTCTTCACTTCTGTTTCTCTCATTACTGATTCTATTTAATGCAAATTTTTGAACCTTATATAATCCTCTTCCTTTCTTATTTTTGTTCAACCTCTTTTGCCATTTTTCCATTTCTTTACTTTTAAAAGGAAATTAATCTTCTTAGTGAAAAAGCTTAAAATATCATTATTTTACAGTAGTTAGAGTCACCTTCATATATTTCTCTTTTTTAAAGTTTTTAACAAAACATGATTCATCATAGCAGAAACGCAAAACAAAAACCTCTCTGATGCAACATAGCTATTTTGTGCCACCTCTTTTTTTTACTTCCCATTTCCAATGCAAAGCAGACAGAAAACGTTGCAAAATCTCTTTACAGTTGCTGAATTCAGCAATTTCTTCTTTTTTTATTACACTCAGAGAAATCAGCTGTCCTGCAGCCTGCCTTGGTGCTGTTTGTTTTTTTTCCCCTCCTTCTATTGTTAAGATTTAGATGAACATGAAATGTTTGCAGAAGAGGCAAGTAACAGGCTTAGCAGGATGCTGCAAAAAAGAGGCAGTGTGGATTATATACTAGAGCAGAAGCAAGTAAAAAAAAAGTAATGCAACCATTTTTAGCATTTACTTAATCATATTTAGTTACTTTAACACAGCGTATGACATAAAACAATTGCATTAAAGTAACTAAATAGGATCAAGTAAATGCAAAAAATAGTTGCATTATTATTCTCAGTGCATTAGATATACAGATTCCAGTTATTTCTCTTAGAATTCTGCATATTAATCCCTGCATGAGTTTCTTTTCTAGTGCTTCAGTGCTGACCCTGCCCTCATTAAGTTAACATCAGCTTCTACTCTAGTATATGATCCATACTGCCTCTTTTTTGCAGCAGCCTATCACTTGCCCCTCCTGCAAACATTTCATGTTAAAAGAGTTTTTTTACTGGATTACTGCAAAGTCAGGGACACAATGCAAGGGACTGTCCTGCACTTGCTCATTTAAAAGGAATAAAATCTGCAATTTAATGATTAGATTCAAGCTGCTGGGGTTTCCTTACATCTGTTAGACATTTAACCAGTCTGTCTGTATATGATTGAATGGACTGTAAAAGTTAATGAGAAGGTCTGAGTTGGGTTAAATTGTGCTGTGAAGATAACCTAATTTGATTTAATTTGTTTTGGCTTCTCCTATAACGAGTAAAGTGATTACTGCTGTGTTACTGCTGTTTTTTGTTGTTTTGTTTTGGCTCAAAATTTAGCCTACTTGTTTAATATAAAAAGGCAAACTACTTTTGTCTGAAAAGGTTAGAAAACACTTTAATGAGCATTCTGAATATTTGACCCACAGTTTGTTTCTGTATAACCGTGCCCACGTGATGGCGCCATTGTATTCAAGTGGGCCTGTTGGATTTCAGGATTATTTATTAGAATTATTTATATCTATATTTATTTGACAGTATAGTCATTGTTAAATCGGTTATTACAACTACAAAGAATGCATACAGCAATTGCTGGCATAAAAAATAGATAAATAAAGAATACAGGACAAATAAACATTTCTTTGTCCTGTATTCTTTCTGTATTTATGGATCTGTTTATGTATTTTCATACATAAACCAGCTTTATATATATATATATATATATATATATATATATATATATATATATATATATATATATACATACCCCGCCTCTCGCCCATTGACAGCTGGAGATAAGCACCAGCACCTCTCGCGACCCCAAATGGGACAAGCGTGTCAGATAATGGATGGATGGATTTATTGGATTCAAGTCAGGTGATTGGCTGGGCCATTCTAGCAGATTTATTATCTTTCCCTGAGATCAATTGAGAGTTTCCTTGTGTGTGTTTGGGCTCAATGTCTTGTTGCCCACTGATGTTTCATCTCCATCATCCTGGTAGATGCCAGCAGATATTTTTTTTTAATCAAGAATGTCTCTGTACTATTTTCCATTCATACTCCTTTCAGTTATTTGAAGTTTACCAGTACATTATGCTGAAAAAACAGACCCACACTATGATGTTCCCACCTCCAACCTTCACTGTTGGTAGGGTGCTTTTGGGGTAATGTGCAGTACCATTTGATCTCCAAAAAATATGTGCAATATAGCATCCAAATAGTACTAATTAGGTCTCATCTGACCAGACTATATTCTCCCAGCATTTCACAGGCTTGTCTAAATGTTGTTCAGCAAACTTTAAACATGTGTCAACATGCCTTTCTTCAGTATGGAGTCTTGCGTGCTGAACGTGCATACAGGCCATGGCGGTTGAGTACATTACTACTGCTACTACTACTACTTTTGAAACAATTGCACCTGCTAATTCCAGGTCTTTCTAAAGCCGTCCACAAGTGGTCTTCTGCTCTTGGACAACTCTTCTGATAGTTCTTATAACTCCTGTGTCAGGAAACCTGCGAGGACCTGCTGGTCATGGTCAGTTTATGGGGAGATGATGTTCTTTCCACTTCTGGATAACAGTCCCAACAGTTCTCACTGGAACATTCAGACATTTAGAAATCCTTCTGAAATAAATGGCCTAATTATTTGCAACAGTATGTTTGCGAAGTTCTTGAAAAAGCTTTTTCCTTTTACCCATTATGAGATGTATCTTGTGTGAAATTATGGGCCATCATCTGGGACTGAACCAGCTGATATTAATTCGCAATGACGAGGGGCAGGATTGCTTTCTAATTACTGATAGATTTCTGCTGGTGTCTTGGCTTTCCATGCCTTTCTGCACCTCCCTTTCTTCACATGTTCAATGCTTTTTCTCTGCACCATTCCACATTATTACACATAACCTACTTTCTGGACATCTATGGTTTGATTTCTTTGTGTGTGTGGATTGCATGGATTGTTACGGCATCTGGTGAAAATGTCAATAACACCTCTAGAAATATATTTACTGAGAAAAATGGTGGCGTGTTCAACATTTATTTTACTTCATTTATATTTCCCAGGTTAATATTGGTAATTGAGACCTCTTTCTTGTTGGTTACATATCATACAGATTCAAAATACATTCCTAACTACATTAGGTAATACATTACAGAGGAGTTTGGACTGAGATTATTTGACTTTATGGACATGAAGCTTTCTTAGGATGAAAACGAGGTTATAACTAGTACTCTCTCAATATGTACTATTTGTGTGGACCTGTATGCACATAACTCTCTAAGTTTTTCCAGAATGTAGCTAAAAGAGCAATAATAATTTAGAATAAATAAAAGTTTTAAAAAAAATTCACTGGACTTGGTTTCCAAGATTTGAAGACAGTTCTCTTCCCCTACAGGAAGCTTTCTCAATTCAAATGTCTGGATCCGCAGTGAGTTTGAGTCTTTATATAGACAAGGCCTTGTATCGCTTGGAAACCGACGAGCGGGTCGTTTGGTTCCATTGTCAGCCTGTAATATCTGAGAAATGTCTATGATTCTGAAGGTCAGTGGTTAAAGGGGGGAATTGTCCAGTGGATTGTTTTTTAAATTTACAGAATGACTACGACCTGGATGACTGAGAATCTTCATCAACATTGAATAAATAAAGGTGTAGAAAGATTTAAATTGCTTAAGAATTTCCAGATAAATTTCCCAAGAGGTGTTTTTTCCCCCCTCAAATAAAAAAACCCATTTCCTGTTGTACTGGTTTGTACATTTATCACTTTTGACATTAATTTAATCAGTGTAGATTATATAGCTGTATGTATAATTCAGGGTTGTTGTTTTTTATTTGAGCTTGAATAGAAAACAAGGTCATATTCTTTTAATGGGACTTAAAATATCATATCTGTAATAAAGGCCACATAGTTAAATAATAGGTGATTACTGTCAAACAGGTCCTTGCCATCCTTAATAAAAACATCATTGCTGTCAATCCAGTTTTGTAAGTAAACTGACTTCCTCTTCCTTATCATGCATTTAATGTTCCATAGTATAGCTTTATGTGGGGAGAGGTTCTGCAAGTGACATTATTTCCAAGCTAAAAAGTTCCTGTTAAAGGAAATAATGAACAATCTTAGTGGTAATTATGCATCATTGCAATTACATAAAAAATGCAATCCTCCTATTTTTTATTTCTTTCTATTTTTCTAAATTTATTGTAAGTGATGGGGTTCCAAAGCGGGGTTGGAGTTTTTCTAAATGTTTCAATCTTATTTTACCCTTTTCATTCTTAGACTTAGAGAATATTTAAATTTCAACTTACTTAGACAACTTTTATTGTCACGTTGTAAACACAGAGTGTATACAAAAGTGAAATTTTGTTTTGTACAGCTTTCAAACAGTGAACGAGCAGCAGCTTAGCAGTGAAACATTTCCCTTTTATAAAGTGCAGCATTGATCAAATGTAAACAGTGTGGGAATACATC